TGCCTCTCGCTGGGGGGCGGGGGGGCTGCAGGGCCGGTGAGCTCCTGAGTGGCTGCGCAGTGCCTGCCCCCTCGTGCTCTGTGGGGCTGGCAGCACTGACCCCGCTCTGCACCCCACAGACTCCACCAACTCCAGCGAGACCATGTACACCATGATGAACCCTATCGGGCCCGCTGGGAACCGGCCGAACGTGCCCCCCCCCCGGCCGCCCCCCCCCCCCACGCAGAGCCCTGGGCAGCCCAGGCCTTGCCCCACCCCACAGCCAAGGAGTGCTGCTGGGGACCCGGCCACAGGCGCAGAGAGCAACCTCCAGCCGACTCCCACAACTCTGCCAGTGCCCCCCGACCCACGGACCCCTGCCATCCCAGCCCTGGGCTCCCCCTTCCCACACCTCTGCCAGTGCCCCTCAACCCCGACCCCCTGCCAGCCCAGCCCCTTCCCACACCTCTGCCGGTGCCCCCCGACCCACGGATCCCTGCCATCCCAGCCCTGGGCTCCCCCTTCCCACACCTCTGCCGGTGCCCCTCAGCCCTGATCCCCGGTCTCTCGCAGCCCCATGGGGTACTGGGGGCCAGAGCAATGCTGGGTGCGTTCCTGAGGCCCTGCGCCCAGTTCCCCTCCACTCCCATCAGCTTGTGCACGGAGCCCCAGCCCCCTGGCCCCACTACGCCCGGGCAGCCTGTGTCCAGCACTGACGCGCTCCCTTTCCCTTGCAGTTCCCCATGGGGCCTGGCCCCGATGGGCCCATGGGAGGCATGAACACCATGGAGCCCCATCACATGAACGGATCCTTAGGTGGGTAGCCCCGGCCTCTCGCCCGCCGGGGTGTGAGCTGCTCACACTGGTGGAGGGACATCAGGACGCCTGCGCCCCCCACCCCAGCCTGGATTCTGGGCCTGGCTCTGCCCTGACTGTGATTGTGGGCAGGTCCCTTCCTATCCCTTGGCGCTATACCAGGTGTGCCGGGGCAGGGTTGTGCCAGGCCGGGAGCTCTGCGGTTCTGGCCCCTGCGCTCAGACCTGCCCCAGCCTCCCCGAGGGGACTCAGCCCCTAGCGCTGCCAGCTGAAGGCGGCCTATGGGCCAGCAGCACCTCCCCCCCGCAGCACGCTAGCATCACTTCCCCCGATGGTGCAGGAGGAAACTGAGGCAGAGAGGCGGGCCTTACCTATGTTGGGGGTGAGGGCAGGAGCCCTGCCACTGTGTAGGACGGACACTGCAGCATGGCCTGGGCTCCCTGGGCGGTGGGTCCGTGTCTAGTGGATCAGGGGGCACCTTTCCCTGGTATGGGGCAGCGCTAACAGGACCTGCTTGTCCTTCCAGGCTCTGGCGACATGGACGGGCTGCCAAAGGTGAGAGCACAGTGCCCCACTTCCACCCGCTCCCTATGGGGGGTTCCCCTGGGCTGAACCCCTCCCTGGGGCACCCCCTGCCCCCTCCCAGGGTGGCCAGCCTGTGCCTCTCCCTTCCAAATGGCCAGGGTGCTGCCAGCTGCTGGGGTGCAGCCCTGCCGTCTCCTCTGGGCACTGGGGGTGACTCTGCACACGGCCCCCCCCCCAGCACTGAGGGCAGCAGGCCAGAGCCGTGCCCGCTCCCATGCCCAGGCGGCGGGTGCCAGCAGCGCTGCTGGGAGCTGTCGGCCTTTCACCCCTGGGGCCGGGGGGGCAGCGGGCCACCCTCTAACCTGGGCTTTCCTGTGCCCCTGCAGAGCTCGCCGAGTAACATGGCGGGGCTGAGCAACCCGCCCGGGACTCCGCGGGACGACGGCGAGATGGGCGGCACCTTCTTAAACCCCTTCCAAAGCGACAGTGTAAGGGACTGGGCGGGCCTGCCGGGCCGGCGGAGAGGGCGGGGCGGGCGGGGCTCCCGGGGCGGGCGGGGCAGCTGCAAGGCATCGGCCACCCCCTGGAAGAACAAACCTGGCACGGCTGGACCTGTGGGGGGGGGCCGTGCGCTGGAGGAGCCTCCCCGAGGTGTGAGCTGCCCCGCCCCAGAGGAAAGGGGCCAGCCGGCTCCCCCTGCCCTGCCCCCCCCAGCGCATCGGGCTGGCCCCGGCGGCCTCCCCCCGCCTGCTAACGCTCTGGTGTCTCCCGTCTCTCTAGTACTCGCCCAGCATGACAATGAGCGTGTGATCGGCTCGGACGTCCCGGCGCAGAGAGCCAGACGCCCCCGCGGTTCTAAACTCTATTTAAAACACCCGCAGGAACTGGCCGCCTGC